AGGGAGGGGAAAAATGAGCTGATACCAAGGGCTCAAGTAGAAAGCAAATGTTTTGAGAATGATGATGTACAAATATGCCTGACACGATGGATGGATGGTGATGAGATGTACGAGCCCCCAATAAAATGATTTTTTTTTAAAAGAGAATGCATGCCTCTTGTTAATACTTTAGAAACAACTCTTTGCACTAAGATAGATAGATAGATAAAAAGAACCTGTTTGACCTAAGGCTGGGAAATAAACTGCTTTGCCTCTTGTGTTTCTGTGTGCACTAGAAATCCTCACTGAACGGCTTCCTGTTTCCTGCGAGTCCTCACCTGCTGAGCCATGATGAAAGTCTTCGAGTCCGTTGGAAGGCTGGTCCTCCTCACCTCTGTGATCGCATCCTGCTATGGCCAAAACCCAGTGACTGTGCTGTGCTCCATAGAATGGTTCATGGTCACTGTACAGCCCTACATGCTAAATAGTGGCGTGTATGTGCACTTCAGCGAGTTATATCTGGGCCAGGGCTGTCCTGCCAGTCATGTTGAGCCACACCTCTACCAGTTCATCTACCGTGTAACTGAATGTGGCATCAGAGTCAAGGCTGTCTCTGGGGACATGATCATGTACAGCTCTGAGATGCATTATGCTTCAAAGGGCACATCTGCTAGGTATGTGGTCCCAGTGTCCTGTATGGCTCCCCAGAGTTCCCCATGGCTCACTAAGCCCTGCCATGTGAGTAGAGCCAGTGGGTATGGGACCCCGGCCAAGGATGATAAGACATCCTATAATGTGTTTGAACTGTCACCTTTTAATGAGAGACCCGCCTGTGACTGTCCACCTTGTGTCTGTGGTGAAGAGGAAGGGGCCCTGGCTGTCCACGCAGAGACTCCATCTGTTCCTGAGCAATCACCTTACTTTGTAACTGACCTTTCTGAAGCTTGGTCTCTTCATTCGGATGACCTGATTGGCTCCATGTAATGCCCAAGTGCAGGGTGGCCTGACGACATTGTTTCTAGAATTGATGTAGCATTTACTAATAGCAGATGCAATGTTTATATGGCCCTTTTACTCATACGGAAAGAGCTAATTCAGCAATGACTAAGCAAGCGAAGCTTCCTTTATATTTTTTATCTTTTCTAGTAAATAAAATGTCTCTGGCACAATACTATCATTTGGGCAGTATTATTTCAGAAGCACATCTATAACTTTTGCTCTAGGCCAGATCCTGTTCTCAGGGCTTTACCAACACAAAAGTTCTTTCCTCTCCTTTAAGGTTCTCCTTCTAGACCCCTATTCCACGTACACTCTGTGCCATTCAAGTGAGTCATGGGTTGACATGCTTTCTGGGTTTGATCTATGGCTGGTTGATCAGTGAAGGCACAAGTGGCACAAGGTTGATTGACATCTCATCAAAGGTTCTCAGAGTCACTCAGTCATACCCCATCAATGGGGTGGTAAGTTTCTTGAGACCAAGCACTTGAGTCTTATACCAGGGGGCACTCCCCCCAAAATGGATTTTTTGCACTGTGTGTTTAAAAAAATTTTTTTTTAACCAAACAACCTTATCACTTTCAAAGTATTCTCCACTACACTTAATATGCTTGTCAAATCTGCTATTCCATTCTTGGAAACATTTATCAAACTCACCTGTTTGGATGGCTGACAGCATTTCCCTCATTGTTTCCTTCACCTCTTCTATGTTCTCAAATCACTGTCCTTTCATGTCCCTCAGCATTTGCAGAAACAAAAAGAAGTCGCACAGAGTGAGTTGAGGTGAGGAAGGTGCATGAGGCAAGAGAGGTATTCTGTTTTTTTACCCAAAACTGGTGCACTGAGATGGCTGCGTGAGCAGGTGCATTGTCATGGTGGCAAAACCAGTCCCCCATTTGCCACAAATCAGGCCTTTTTTTGGTCGTACACTGTTATGCAATCTTTTAAGGGCCTCTAAATAGAAAGCTTGATTAACAGTCTGACCTGGTGGAACAAACTCCAAATAAGTCAATATTTTCATCCATTCAGGAAGTTGATGGAAGTCCAGAATGAGGTTTGTCATCAATCGACATTTCGCCCTTTTTGAAATGAAAAAAACACTTATACGCTTGAGTTTTTCCCATAGTGCTGTCCTTGTAAGCTGTGTTTAACATCACAACAGTTTCTGTGGAAAATTTCCTGAGCAGGAAACAAAATTTCACAGCTGCACTCTGTTCTCTTAAATCAGCTATCACACACACACACAAAAAAAAAACCCAAGGTTTGAGTGAAACTGCTTTTGAAAAAAAAAAAAATACACTATGACAGAGAGAGAACCTTCTCAGGTGTCGCCGCTGGGTGCACTAAGAGTGAGTTACTCGATGCTCACCTCAGACCCACAGGGGCAGTTCTACCCTGTCCTATAGGGTCTCTACAAGTGGGAATAAACTGAATGACAATGAGGTAAGAGTCCTACCATACGAGAGAAGTATTCTTCATATACCCATTTTCAAAAGAAGCAACCCATCACAAATTTGGATATATATCACACACCCCCCAGAGGACAAATAACAGAAAGGTGGGTGAAGGGAGACAATGGACAGTGTAAGACACGAAAGAACAATAATATATTCCATATATACTCAAGTATAAGCCAACCCGAATATCAGCCGAGCACTTAATTTTACCACAAAAACTGCATTGAAATTTTACTGAAAAACTCGGCTTATACATGAGTGTATATGGTAATTGATCAAGGATTCATGAGGGTGGGGGGTGGAGGGAAAAGAAGTGGAGCTGATACCAGGGCTCAAGTACAAAGAAAGTGTTTTATTAATATTGATGGCAACATAGGTACAAGTGTGCTTAATACCATTAAGTGGTGGATTGTTATGATTTGAAAGAGCCCCCAATAAAATGATTAAAAGGGGTCAAAAAGAAGCAACCTGAGGAACAGGGTGATTAAGCAACCTGCCATAGGCCACCGACCTATGAAGAGGCAGGTCATACAAACACATTTACACATGGCAGTGTAGGCAAAGTGCTTCCCTAGAGGATAACACTAGAAAGTTAGCCATGGTAGTTGGAGAAACATGGCAATTCATTTAAAATCTCCTGCCCCTTCTTGCAGAAAATCAGGCGATAATTCTTGAAAATGGTATTTCCATCCACAAAACATTTATTTGAACATGTCCTTTGCATCAGGCACTATGTTCAGTGTGGAGGACGCAATGGGGAACAAGACTAACATAGTCTCGTGGGAAGGGAAGACCAGTAAAGAAGTCCAGGAAGCTAGGGACTCTTTCAGCCCAGAGAACAGGCCTGGGTAAAGACAGAGACCTGGGCTGAGGCCACCAGGGAAACTGAGGTAGGGTAATCAGATACAATGGGTCGGGGCCAGGGGGAGGAGGGGGAGACCCCTAGTGACACAGTGGTGAAGAGCTCAAGCGCTCAACAAAATGTTGGTGGTTCCAAACCACCCACGGACTCCATGAGAGAAAACATGGTGGTTTGTGTGCTCTTGAGTTGATTGTGGTACAGAGAAGCTCCTATAGGACAGTGGAGAATTGGCCCATAAGGTTTCCCAGACAGTAATATGTAATGGAGCAGACCAGCAGGCCTTTCCTCCTACAGGAAGGCTGTTGAATATGAATCACTGACCTTTCGGTTACTGTTTTAAACATTGCACCACCAGAACTCTTGCCCATAAAGATTACAGCCAGGAAACCCCAGCTGTAGGCTAAGACAATTCTATTCTGGCACACAGGGTTGCTCTGAGACAAAGGCAACCCCATGGCACCTGACAATGACAACAAGGTGGTTAAATGTCAGAGCAAATACAATGGGTGTTTGTTTGTGTGTTTGTGGTGATTGATTGGTGCCTTTGAATTCTGAGTTTGTGAAGGATATTAAATTTACTGTGGACTTCCAGAAGAACACATAAAATTGTCTTGTAAAAAGTGCAGCCAGAATGCTCCTTAGACGTGAGAACAGAAAGACTTCATCTCCCAGACTTTGCACATGTTCTCAGAAAGGATCAGTCCCTGGAGAAGGCCATCATGCGTGGTAAAGCAGGGGGTCAACAGCAAAGAGGAAATCCCTGAAAAGAGAAAATGAGAGAGAGAAAGAGAGACTCTAAATGAGATGGATTAACCCAGTAGTTACAACAACGATTCCAAGTATAGCAACAAGGATGAGGATGGTATAGGACCAGGTAGTGCTTTGTGCTGTTGTCCTTGGGTCGCTATGAATTAGAACCAACTTGAAGGAACCTAACAGCAACAGGCTCTTGAGGAGCTGCCTGTCCAGATTGGAAGATCAAGAGGAGGATTTGGCCAATCCGAGAAAAGGAAGATGAGCATTTTCTGCGAGCATATGCACCGCACCGGAGCAGGGTAGAGACATGCATTGTGTTGAGGGCTAATGCTGAGAGGACTTGCTGTGACCTAGAGAAGATGAGAGATAGGAAGTAAACGGGGCCAAAATTTGAAGGACAAGAAAAGTTGAAAATGAGAACCACTGTAAACAAAGAACAATGGGACTTCATTTCACCCTACTGGAGCATAGGGGAAGGACTTCCCAGAGAACAAAAAGACTTGAGCTAAGCCCTGATCTGCCAGACTGAATAGATGTGCGAAAGAAGAGTTCAAATCAAAAGAAGCCACCTTTTAGAGCTCTAGAACAGCCGTTCTCAACCTGTGGGTCGTGACCCCTTTGGGGTCAAGCGACCCTTTCAGAAGGATTGCCTGATTCATAACAGCCACAAAATTACAGTTATGAAGTATCAATGAAAACAATTTTATGCTTGGAGGGGGCGGGCTCACCCCCACACACACACAAGGGGTCACGACCCACAGGTTGAGAATCTAAACCTTATTGTATTCTTGGTAAAGGAGGGGGCTGCCTGCTACTTATTTGTTTGCTTTGCTTTCTCTTCCAGAATCCTTGGTGATGGTATTCAGTAGGGGCTCAACTAGTTAACTGGTACCCAGAATGAGCTTGGAAGAAAAAAAAAGAAAAATAAATAAGGGAAGATTAAAACACCTTAGGGGGGAAAGGGAACTTCTGCATTTTGAATTCATGAAATATTTTTGCCTCTTGAGATGCCATGCCCAAAGGGTGTTTTCCTCCTTAATGATGGTCATGTTCATTTGATTTTTTAAGGCAGCAGGATATCTAAAAATCCTAATCGCAATGAAAATAAATGCTTAATTGCTGTCAAAAGAAACAAGCATTTTCACTTTTCTTTCAGTGTCAATGAAAGTCAAAAATGTTGGCAATCATTTGTTATGATAAATGTTTGACACATATCTTAAAATTCAAGCTAGAATGAGAGTTCTCACCTATAAAAGGAGACTCAAAGTAACATTTACGTTTTTCTTCTTCTGACCTGAAAATAGTAAATTTTATATATATTTGGTAAATGGTGTAGAGTATATGTAGATGGTAAAAAGCAGTCCTGAAAACTAAAAAATAAAAAGTCGAGTCCTTTGTCCTTTATTGTAGCTCCGAATTTATTTTGGAGATGCCAGTCAGTCGCCCCACTCCTCCATTCCATCCTCAAAGATGACAGCCTATCAGTGCAGCACTGTTCACAAAAGCAAGATGGAAAGAGTGCACATGCCCACCAGGAGAAGAATGGATAAAGAAACAGACACACACTGGAATTAGTAGGATCCCTAAAGGAAAGCCATGAAAACACGAACCCCCTTCATGACCTGGACCTGAAGAACATCATGCTGAGTGAAACGACTGGATCACAGAAGGACAAGTATGAAGAGATCCCTATTGTAAGTGAAAAATGCATGCAGAACCAAGGGAAAGACTCGTACATCTAAAGGAACAGACTTTGGATACTGCCCAGGGCGGGAGGGCAAGGGAGGGAAGAGAAAGTGGCAGACTACACAGAAGATGGGTGTTAAGTTTGGTATAATGGATGCTCACGACTCCCAAGGAGGAGAAGAGTAATAAAGGATTGGGTGAAGGGCAAACTCTTGGGAGGTGTTGATTCGTAACTGAAACTGAATATGAACCCCCCTTCCGAATCTACAATTAAAAAAAAATAACAATGTATAAATAAAAGTTTTACTCAAACAAACAAAACCTGAAAGCCTGGTCAAGGAGTCCCCTGAGCAGAGTGCTATTCCCACGTACACGTACACCGTGGTTACAAAAGATGCGTTATCAGGGAAGGCT